AGGACCAAAGCAGGAAGAATTTCGTGCGCGTCCAGTATGCCTATAACACAAGACAGACGGCGAGAGCGAATGAATTTAGGCAAGTAGGGACAAACACCTTGCCACTCGGACGATGGGAACGAGGAAGTTTCCGAAACGTCAGCACCAACACAGTGTAGTACATGAATGTGCCTCTTTTTATTCTTCCTCTTCTTTGGGGGAGGTGGGGGGGGGAATTAATGAGTCCTGTAACCTATTGGTGACCGTCTATCTAGCATTGTTAATATTCCCGATCGAGACCGGCAAGGAAACGAGCCCGTTACGCGTTGGTTGGAGCGTTGAACTTTTAACAGAGAAGGTCGCGACTCCGAGCCTCGAGGATCGCCATCCATGGGATTGGGTATGGCTGGCTGATGACGGCTAATATGCCAGAAATAACCATTCCAGTCTACTTCATATTTGTCGATAACGTCATTTTGTCTATATCAATAGTCGCTGTGCGGCTACAGGCGTGGTTCAAGAGTAATTCTCCAGGCACTGCGGGATGAGTGGTTCTGGTAACCGATTGGCAAGTGCACAGCTTCGGAAATAGAATAGCGTGTATTGTGTATATTTTCGAAACCGGTCCCCCAGCTCGTCATCAGATAAATAATATTGGATGAGAGTTTGCGCGCAGGCCTACGACGCTAAAGTAAATACAAATATAAGGAAACTTAGTCAACTAGTCTAACGCTAGGAATTTTTCCGAACTGACATTTTCGGTCTAAATATACCTAGTCAGCTAGGCGTAGAGAGGCGGTCCTAACTCCGGAACCTCGTAAAAATCCGACCTTGATTATTCAAGACCACTCACTTCCCGACCTCAAGATTACTCTGTTCCTGTTCCTTTCAACAGATCATTTCTCACAAAAATCTTTGAGCCACAATGCCCTTTTTTAAAACATTTCCGAACTTTTTCAGGCGTTGTCCGAGATGTTTACTACTAAGACTCACTAAAAATCACGTCCAAATCCCACTTTATTCAAAATGCATCAGTTCTACTGCTTCAGACATTCGTGAAGAGCGAAAACAAACTGCAGGTTATTGATTTCGAAACATCGATTAGCGCATAGCCTTCACTGGTTAATCGTCACCCTATTGGTCGCTGGTACCAACAACTCCAACCCAGGCACAGCTCCACATTTGCATAGAGTACCACAGGACCTGCACTGAACTCGACAGACGAGGCCTGCTGTTTCTCCGCGGGACAGAGGGGACGTTAGTCCCATAACCAGTCGTCTTATTGTAGCCTCAGGTCTGTGGGCTACGCAAATACCCAGTGGTTGTAACAGACGAGCGGCTGCTTCAGAAACATTCTTGATGTATGGCATTACTCTCCATATTCTCGGTTGTTCCATCACTGGTCTTGTAGCTCGCTTCGGTTGTCTGCTGCGTTCTAGGAAGCTGTGAGGGTAACCGTTGGAGATGAACATCCGCCGAAGATAACCAAGTTCTGCCGCTTTGCCACCTGTCCTGTTGCAATGCGTTCGCATACAACTGCGTTTGTGGCCCAGTGGCTGGTTACTTTGGTAGTTGAGTACCTGACGTGTGTCGGTTGCCTTTCGCTATACAGTCGTCTTTAGGCTCCCGTCAGTCTTAGGGTGGACCAGAACGTCTAAGAACGCAAGTTGATTGTTGACCTCAGTCTCCATTGTGAACAGAATGTCGGCAAAAGCAAAGTTCAGGATCATGTGAAAGTCAGAGACCATTTCACGCTTGAGGACGACGAAGGTATCATCTAAATACTGCGCCCAAAATACTAGTCTATGGTTCTTAAACACCAGAGTCTAGAATTTTTGAAGAACTGCCTGAGCAAGGAAACCAAATAGCGGCGAAACCACCGGAGTTCCTTTGAATTGTTCGTACAACGAGCCCTCAAAAGTAAAATATGTGATTTATGTTAGGGCATATACTTGTCCCGGAAGTGCCTTGAGGCTAGTACTTGAGTGATATCAGACTGTCGCTTAGCGACCTCAGACATATGATGGACTGCATCCGACAAAGACAAGGGAGACCGGAATGGCCATTTCTGGCCTGTTAGCCGTGAGCCAGTCATACCAAATCTCAAGTTCCATCATATTCACGATCACAACCGACAAAGCAACGAGCCCGTGGCGCCAAGGTAGAGTATTAAACTCAATCACCGAAGGTCCCGGGTTCGAATCTCGAGGGTTCCAACCCTTGAGATTGCAACAAGGCAGGTGACACAGCGGCAGAACTTGGTTACCTACGGTGGATTTTCATTTCCAACGGCTACCGTCACAGCTTCCTATAACGCAGCAGATAACCGAAACGAGCAACACGACCAGTGGTGGAACAACCGAGAATGTGGAGAGCAATGCCATACATCGCTAAAGTTTCTGAAGCAGCTGCTCGTCTGTTGCAACTACGGGGTATCGGCGTAGCCCCCAGACCTAAGGCAACGAAAAGACGACTGGTCATGAGACCAAAGGCCCCTTTGTCTCGCGGAGAAGCAGCAAACGTCGTCCATCGTCGTCGTCGTCCATCTGAGGCGAACTACAGTCCTGCGAGTCCTGTAAACAACTTTCATGACGATATTCAACTTGGTACTTTAGTGTATATCTGGACAGGTTGTTTTGATCAACTGAGTGGATTTAATAATAAGAAG